CGGTTAGCTCACTGGGAGAGTGTGGTGCTGACAACACCAAGTCAAGGGTTAAGATACCCTTCCTGGTCATCTTTTAAGAAAAAAAAAAAAATCTCATTTAGCAAGTGCAAATATTTGCCATAAATGAGGGATTTTGTTACTGAAATTAAAATGTTTGGAAAGCCACTGATTAAAAGAAAACTAATATTGTTACTGTTAATTTTACCAAAAATAAGAAGCCAATTTCATATGTTTTTTCCCTCTTGTAATGAAGGGACAGCAGAAAGCATCAAGACATCTATGCAAAATCCATTTGGTTGTGTTTTACTTCTAAACAGCAATAGAAACATTAACTCGTTACCAACATGTATAAGTTAGCTGCAAACCAAAATGTGTTTTGAAGCACAGCAAGCCAAGTGTTCTTTCTCCAATCTTTACTTATTATCAGTTACTACTTAACTAATCTTGGGTTGCACATTCACCTGATTTTTTAGGTCAGAACACTCTGGGGTTCTTCTGGGGGTGGGCAATGATCCTGGGTGCCTCATGTTAAGGGGGAGAACTTATTTGGTTCCTCAAACTGGGTAGGTACTCATTTCTAGCATATAAGTCCATAAATTTCAAATTTTAATTTATAGGGGGATATTTAGATAACATAAGATATTTGGCATTTATAAAGCACTTCTAGTAAATCAATAAAAAGTTAATGAGATATTATTTCAACTGTATGACATTCTGGAAAAGGCAAAACTGTGGCGACAATGAAAAGATCAGTGGTTGCCAGGGGCTGGGGGGAGGAGGGATGAGAAGGTGGAACACAGAGGACTTTCAGGGCAGCGGAACCACTCTGTGCGATGCTACAATGTGGATACGTGTCATTATACACTTGTCCAAACCCACAGCATGTACAACACCAAGAGTGAGCCCTAATGTAAACTGCGGACTTTGCGTGATAATGACGTGTCAGTGCAGGTTCATCGATGGCAACAACCGTGCCAGTCTGGAGGGGGTGTTGACCGTGCGGGAGGCTGTGTGTGTGGCGGGTGGGCAGAGGGTATATATAGAAACTCTCGGTAACTTTTGCTCCATTTTTCTATGAATCTAAAACTGCTCTAAAACACAGACTATTAAAAATAAGTAAATAAACAAAATAAGGGTAAAGAGAAAAAAATTAATAAAAGAAGAGAGTAATTATCGAGCACTTTTGTACCTGTCACTGTCCTAAGTATTTTAAACACGTTAACTCACTCATTCCTCATAACAACCCTGTAAAGTTGCTACTATTATTATTACAGATGCATGAACTGAGGCCCAGAGAGGTTAAGTGACTTGCCCAAAGTAGCACAGCAAATGGAAGAACCAGGACACACATGTGGGCAGCCCAACTCCAGACCCTCCGCTCTGCATCGTTATGCCCAGTTGCTCCTTGACGGGAGTTGAGTCCATGGAGGATTCATTTCACTAATCTAATCTCATGTGCACATCCTACTTCCTCTTAAAGCTAGGAAAAATACATTTTTCCCCCTGGAGACTCCATATATCTGTAGACAGGTGACATAATCAATAATGTTAATAGGACAAAATACTGCCGATGATTTGTATGTAAGTCTGCACTCTGGAATCTTTTCAGGCAAGAGCCACAGCCCTGGAAAATTCTGCCTTATGACCTGATTTTCAGAAATGGTTTTCACTCTCTTGGTGCAAAGTAGTCGCAACCCGACTTTAAAATAGCTCATTACGATATCTTTGTATACAGAGCTTTGTATTTAACTCTAAAAATCACTGCGCCTGAAGATCTTCCATGAGGTTCACAAAACGGGTGTTTTCCACATACTGTCCCTAGTATCGTACACCCTGCACCGTGGCGGTCAGCGGTAGGAAGAGAAACATCTATCTGACTCTGGTCGTCAGACTTGGGAGACGTGAAACATATGCCACTTTCAGGAAACAAGCATGGTTTGGGGACTAATCCTGAGCTAATTAGGAAGCAGACATCACTAGATTCTGCACTCCCGGCAGCACTGTCTGCGAGAACCACATCGGATGCCTCATGCTGCCGTCCAGCACGTTAGCACAGGCCTGGCACTTAAGCCACCGCCAGTAAGAGTTTGGAGAGAGGATGTAAGGACATGAAATGGAATGCTGCTGTTTTATTACAAAGGGATGACTGTTTGACAGGTGACTTAAATGACTGGCATCTCAAAGTGATACTAGAGTCCTGGGTATGAGACCCATAAATAAAACAGGTAAACATAAGCTTTTTCCCATTGTGCAATTTCAGAAGGGAAGATGTGACTGGGTAGGATGTGATGCAGGTTATAGGACTGCAGTGGTCTTGGAAGGCATAATAGACACATGTAATAAAATACATGTCACAGACTGCTTCTGGTCCAGTACACCGAGCTCCCAAGATCTCTGTCCACGGCACCGAGGTAGACCGACTTCCAGCCGGCTGCGGGAGCTGCAGACTTGCTCTGCATGGAGGGCCCTGGTGTTCCCTCGCTTGTTGGGACAGAGTCACCAAGTAAAGCAATGGGGAGCAATCAAGGCCGTGCTTGACCTGTTCTGCCATAAACACCAACAGTCTCGGATGCTGCAATCAAAGTGGGACCCTCACCTTCCTGTCCCATGGCCTCCACTGGGGTACTCGTCAGCACTTTCTCTGAGATCCAGGGTGGGGCTCCAATTCCCCAGGAGCCCCCAACTCTGTAGAAGCAGCTATGGAGTTCTGCTCTTTATGAACTTTAAGGTCACAGACAGGGTCAGGACTCCCCCTGCAACTACATATCCAGCAAACCAGAAGGAAAACCCTTTGCCAAAGGCTTCTCTGGCAATGATCCTAAAGGTCCTCCCAGCAGCTCCTCGAAGGCTAACTGCACCCGGGTCACCTGGGGGACTGGTCAAAAACGCATATTCTAAGCTCCCACCCAGATCTACCAAATCAGAGTTCCCAAGGTGGGGGTAGGGTATCTCTGCAGTATTAAGCTCTCGGGTGATTATAATGGCAACCTGATGTTGGGACCACTGCTTTCAGATAGGTGAGGGGTAGAGGGGCAGGAAGGGGAGGTGTAGAGGCTGCGGATAGTGAAACTGAATGGCAATGCCTCAGTTAACACAGGGCTAGAGACTAGGTCTACCGCATCCTTCCCCTCTGTCCCAAATGGTGATGGCACCTGGACAGACAAGAGTAAGGCCTAATTTCTTAGACTGTCATTCTGATGATGTCATTCTG